TTAACACTTATTTACTGGAACCGAGGGAAACAGCATGTTTTGTGGTCCCGAGACCGCTGATGTTTCCCGAAGCGAAGCTGAGGGAAACATCAGCGGTCGAGGGACCGCAAAACATGCTGTTTCCCGAGGTTTCCAGTAAATAAGTGCTTTATTATCATATCAAGTGTCAAAGAGAGCAAAAAAAAGTAAATAAAGGAATTGTTTTTATTAAAGATTTTGATAAAATAACTGAAAAATGGCAATACAAATAGTCACTAAAATCAATCAATGTAATAACACAATGAATACTAATTTAACTATTTGTAGTCGAAATTAAATGTTTCATAACAATTTTGGAATTGCAACATCCGTAAATGTGACATTTTCACGACACTGAAGATTGTTTTTCTGCGACTTTGTACTTATTGACGGTCCACAACATATTATTGACCGCTGGTGGACAGTTGCCGGGAAACAGTAAATTTTGTGACTTTCACGTGGTACACTCTCGACCAATAAGATACTAGGAAAAGTGAACTTTGACACTTGATATATAATAAAATGAGTTGTAATATAAATAGCGAGTGCCATATTCATATATTAAATCAGTTATACATTTCAGGAGGTTATATGGTTCTTGCACAATATGCAGTCGACGAAGAAAAAGGACGACATCCCAGTCAAACAAACTGCACTAATATATATTCAGTAGATGATCAGCTGTGTAGTTTATGGAAAGAACTTGTACAAGAAGGAAAAATTACACAGGTCGGAAAAAAACACAATTCAATTTGAAATCACTATCATTAATACTTACTCTTAACCAGTAACACTATTAAGAATACCTTTATATAAACGATAATAAGTGTTTGAAAGAGGCTCTTACTGTCTCTTCCCTTATACAAAGTAACATCGAGCGAGAGCCTCTCTTGTTTGTTCTGATTAAACGTTTCCCCAATAATAAGCCTTTTATACATTTAATTCCTCTTAGGAAGAATTCAAGCAAACAACTTTTTCTTTTTACTTTCGAACTGTGGAACAATTCAAGAAGCCTTTCAACGACCCCGATTCTCCTGTGAGGCGGAAGAGTTTGGAATTGGTTTCCATTGCGACACATTTCATCCCATGTGAATACAAGGAGAGATGGATGAGAGACAAGGGAGACCCCAAAGAACATGCCAAACGCTATGTCGCCAGCATTCGTACCTGGAGTAATGCAACTTTGATTTCAGGTTGGAGAAAATTTATATTTTTCAGCCAATAGCACCGAAGTCCTTATAGGCGTTATGTCTTACCTAACTAGAGATCTGCACAAGCATATATACATGTGATTTAATTTCTAGACAAGCAGATACACACTGAGATAAAATTACGGCATTTGCACGAGGAAATACTTCCAGTAAGCGCTCTAAGAGCGTTTGTTTGAATTTCTCGTAGGTCTAGCAGATTCGCGGTCTGCTGAGAAGAAATCCAGGATCGTGGATGAGCTTTATCACCGCTACGAATCATTGGTAGCCAAGAACCCCGAGGATCATGGGTTGGATTCTGTACAGGCCTACATTGTAATTCGCAAGAGACAATAAAATGTACTGAAGAAAAATGTTATTAAACACGTTGTGACGGATTATGTGTCAGGAGAAGTTGTAATTTTGTCAAAACTACATATCTTTTATAATACACGTGAATTTATCTCTATAAAATAACACGAAATGTATGATTCAATAACAGTAATTTAAACGTAAATTGGTAGCTAAAGAGTTCTACTCGATGTGGAGGGAAAATAGAGTATACCTCATAATCAAGTAAATAATCGCTGGCATGGATTGCAGTGGAAAAAATTACGTAAGTAAATATATTTCACATCGAAGCTTGTGGCTCTAGACCCGCCGAGTTGGATTCAGAGTTCGCATGACGCGGTCTTATCGGCGACTCCATAGAAACGGGGGTTTAGATAACGGCCTATTAAGCCATTATCTTGCTATATATAGCAAAACATTTTAAGCCATTAACTTGTTCGGTTAAATGAATTTTAATATAATATAAGAATAAGAATTATATATATATATAAACATTTTAAGCCACTAAAGCAAGAGAAAATGAGGTAAGAGAAGGAATCCCTGGTACTGCGTTCTTAACCCATCATATCAGCCCTTCGTTCTATTTTTAGAAAAAGAGCTATTTTTTAGAAATGGAACTTGATTGGTCAGATCCTTTCGTGTTGAATCTACAAATGTAAATTATGCGTTTTATAAATTATCTATTCCAGGTTAAATATTACTGCTCGAGAGGTCAGAGAATTCAAAGGTCACATTGTCGATCTAATTTCATGTCACATTAACTTCAGAAGCTGATTCTTCTTCGACACTTTCAAGTTTTCTTTGTTTTCAAGAAGATTCCTTTTCTTCTTCAAGAAGTTTCCTTTTTAAAAGCGAATTTCGTAGCTTTAATTTTCTCGAACAGTATTTGACATTCAGTTTTTGGCGATGAAAAATAGCCGATATCAAATTCCGATAAACGAGTAGTGGTCGCGCAGGCTTGGTAACAAACTAAAAATAGCTCTTTTTCTAAAAATAGAACGAAGGGCTGATATGATGGGTACCAGGGATTCCTTCTCTTACCTCATTTTCTCTTGACTAAAGTTAACGGCTTACAATGTTTTGTTATGTATAGAAAAAGACTAAAATCGGCCGTAAAGTTAACGGCTTAAAATGTTTTGTTATGTATGGAAAAAGGAACAAGGCAGGCATGGTAACGAGAAATAAACAAAAAAAGCAAAGGAAGTGTAAAACAAACTAGACGCCCCTGGGGCGTGAAGTCGGACTAGCTATTTTTGAAAATTGATAGACACGAGTGAAAAGATTATGATGTTATATTCTGTTTAATCATATGATTATATTATGAATGCAAATGAAACTTGAGAAAAACAGGAAGATATTACATAAAATATAAAAATTAGATTAAAATATGTATTTCTTAATTTTTCTCCAAAATAGCCGAACTCACGGCCTAATAAGAGCGTCTAGTTCAAAATATCCAAACTCTCTTGAGACTAAAATAAACTTGACCTAAAAGGTCATGTAATTAATATAGCAATGAACGTTTTAAAAGAGTCCTTGCTTTCACTGATAAAATCAAGCATGGTATGTAGACGTGACGCTAAGTGATAACGTTGACCTCTCAGGCCAAGAAAATACTTTACAAAGTAAATGATACCTATAAAATCATTAAATTCGCCTTTTTTTATTGATAAAAAATGTTTCTTCTTGTTCTAATTTGAAATCTTTACCCACACAACACTGCCTAACGCTAAAAAGGCCATTAATTTAGTTTCGAAAGCATACTACTCGAAGCACTAAGCGATCTGCACATGCGCGTACTTATGATACCTAGACTGATGCATTCCGATGAGATCACAGATACCACATTTGTAAACGAATACAAAAGCATGTAAGTAGCATGTAACATTTACTAACGATATTCGTAGATCAATACGTTTGAGCTTCCGGTGATGTAATAACACAGCCAACCCAATAGTTAAATATTAAATTCTTAACTTCCGGTGGTCCAAACGCGACATAACACTTAGATAGATAGACTAAAAGGTAAATTTAAAGTCGGACCGCCTTCGGCTAGTCCGACTAAAGAACAACTAAGGTGCTAAAAGGGAACAAAAGATAACAACCTATCTGAAAACAAAGCGTTCATTCAACCCATGGGGATTGTAAGTGCCCAATAGCTGAATAAGCCGCATTTCTTTGGTTTTGCGACAATCATTATTGCCGCTAATCAAATACAAACCAAAAACAACTAGACGCTTGTAAAGCGTGATGCGGGCTAGCTTTTTTGGAAAATTGAGAAAGACTGGATATTACATGGTGCGCGAATACACCAAGAGCAAAAGATTTTCTATACAACAAGATAAAATTTGTTTCTGCAATGGATATTGTGACTATGACGTAACTATATATGAAAGTAAAATGGTGGGAACTAGCGGTAAACTAGTGTGAGCTGCGTCGGTGTTTCTAAAGAAACAGTTGTGTAAAAAGATAAATTTAACACCGTAGAATTTTGTTTACAGTTCAATTTCTAATCGTGCACTGCACCGCAATATTCTTTTCTTTTTCAATGGATAAGGCTGCTTGACAGAAATTTTTAAAGGTAAGCCGATTTTAGTCTTTTCCATATACATAATTAACAAAACATTTTAAACCGTTAACTTTACGATGAATACTTCCTCGAATAAATAAAGTCGCATTTAACATGATAAATACTTGTCAAACT